AATATCCTTGATGAATATATATGCAGCATTCTCAACAAAACACTAGCAAACCAAACTCAGCAGCACATTAAAAGGATGCATTGTTCACCATGATCAAGTGGGATTTATCCCTGGGATGCAATGATAGTTCAACATGTGCAAATCAATCAATGTGATACATTACATTAATAGAATGAAAGAAAAGAATCATATGATCATCTCAATAGCCACAGAAAAAGCATTTGACAAAATTCAACATCCATTCATGATAAAATACTTAGGAAATTAGGCATAGAAGGAACATATCTCAACATAAGGAAGACCATACATGACAAGCCTACAGCTAACATTATACTCAATGATGAAAGGTTGCAAGCTTTTCCTCTAAGATCAGGAATAAGACAAGGCCGCCCACTCTCACACTCCCATTCAACATAGTACTGGAAGTCCTAGCTAGAGCAATAAGGTAAGTAAAAGAGGGACTTCTCTGGTGGTCCAGTGGGTATGACTCCACACTCCCAATGCAGGGGGCCTGGGTTCGATCCCTGGTCAGGGGACTAGATCCCACAGGTATGCCGCAACTAAGAGCCCACATGTCATAACTAAAGATCCCACATGCCACAACTAAGACCTGGCACAGCCAAAATAAATAAATAAATAAATATTTTTTTTAAAAATAAGGCAAGTAGGGCTTCCCTGGTGGCGCAGTGGTTGAGAGTCTGCCTGCTTATGCAGGGGACACGGGTTCGTGCCCCAGTCCAGGAAGATCCCACATGCCGTGGAGCGGCTGGGCCCGTGAGCCGTGGCCGCTGAGCCTGCGTGTCTGGAGCCTGTGCTCTGCAATGGGAGAGGCCACAACAGTGAGAGGCCTGTGTACCGCAAAAAAAAAAAAAAAAAAAGGCAAGTAAAAGAAATAAAATGTATGAGAACTCGAAAAGAAGTAAAATTGTTTCTATTTGCAAGTGACATGATTTTATATATAGAAAATCCCAAGACACAACCAAAAAACCATTAGAACTAATCAAAGAATTCAGTTGCAGTGTACAAAATTAGCACACAAAAATCAATAGCATTTCTATACACTAACAATGAATTCTCTGAAAAAGAAATAAAAGAATTTATTACATTTACAACAGCATCAAAAACAATAAAATACTTAGGAATAAAGAAGACACTAGCAAATGGAAAGGTATGTTCACGGATTGGAAGAATTAATATTGTTCAACTGTCAATACTACGAAAAGCCATTTATAGGTTCAATGCAATCCCTATCAAGATTCCAATGGCACTTTTTGCAGAAATAGACAAAACACCCCTAAAAATTATGTGAAATCAAAAAAGACCCTGAATAGCCAAAGAAATCCTGAATCCAAAGAACAAAAAAACCAGAGGCATCGCACTTCCTGATTTCAAGATATACTATAAAGCTATAGTAATTAGAACAGTATGGTACTGGCATAAAAACAGACAGACCATGGAACAGAATTAAGAGCCCAGAAAAAAACCCCAAGCACATACAGTCAACTAATAATTGACAAGACAGCCAAGCACACTCAGTGGAGAAAAGAAAGTCTCTTCAATAAATGGTGCTGGGAAAATTGGATATTCACATGCAAAAGAATGAAACTTGACTCCTATCTTGCACCATTAACAAAAATTAACTCAAAATGGATTAACGACTTAAATATAGGACCTGAAACCATGAAACTCCTAGAAGAAAACACAGGAAAAAACCTCCTTGACATAGGCCTTGGTAATGATTTTTTGGAAATCACACCTAAAGCACAAGCAACAAAATAAAAAATAAACAAGTGGGACTACATCAAACTAAAAAAACCACACAGAAAAAGAAAATATGAACAAAGTGAAAAGATAACCTATGGGAAAAATATTTGCACATCATCTATTTGATAAGGCATTAATATCCAAAATATATAAAGAACTCATACAACTCAATAGCAAAAAAATAAATAACCCAATTTTAAAAATGGGTAAAGGATGTGAATTGACATTTTTCCAAAGAAGATATATGAATGGCCAACAGGTACGTGAAAAGATGCTCAACTCACTAGTCATTAGGGAAATGCAAATTAAAACTGCAATGAAATAGCGCCTCACAATGGCCATCATCAAGGGGAGGATGTGGAGGAAAGGGAACACTTGTGCACCGCTGATGGGAGTGTGTAAATTGGTATATCCACTATGGAAAACAGTATGGAGGTTCCTCAAAAACTTAAAAATAGTACTATCACATGATCCAGCAATTCTACTTCTGGGAATATATCCAAAAGAAATGAAAACACTAACTTGAAAAGATATCTGCACCCCATTTCATAGCAGCATTATTTACAACAGCTAAGACATGGAAATAATCTAAGTGTCCATAGATAGATGAATGGATAAAGAAGACATGGTGTGTGTGTGTGTGTGTGTGTGTGTGTGTGTGTGTAATTCAGCCATAAATAATGAGGAAATCCTACCATTTGTGACATTGAGGATGGACCGTGAAGGCATCATGCTAAGTGAAATAAGTCAGACAAAAAAAAGACAAATAAATACTGCAGGATCTCAGTTATAAGTAGAATCAAATAAAAATAAACAAAAATTCCCCACCAAATTCAGAGAAAGAGATGAGATTTGTGGTTGGTTACCAGAGGCAGGATGTGGGGGGAGGGGATATTGGAGGAAGGTGGTCAAATGGTACAAACACTTCCCTTATAAGATAAATAAGGACTAGGAATGTAATGTACAACATGATGACTATAGTTAACACTGCCGTATGATATAGGAAAATTGTTAAGAGAGTAGATCCTAAGAGTTCTCATCACCAGCAGAAATTTTTTCTTTCCTTTTTATTGTATCTATATGAGATAATGGATGTTAACTAAACCTATTGTGGTAATTGCTTTACAATATACGTAAATCAAACCAACATACAGTACACGTTAAACTTATACAGTGATGTATGTCAATTATTTCTCAATAAAACGGGAAAAAATTTTAATTCAAGAAAGATAAATTGTATACATTTGGAAAGAAACATCATTATTTAATTTTCTTTTTTTTTTTTTTTTTTTTTTTTTTTC